TCTGATGATCGGTCACTTGGGGCCACAGTAGAAAAGGTAGCAGTTGAGTCCCCAGTGTTCACATCTGAGTGTTGGGGTGCCATGCCGTATCCTGTACCTTCATATCTGTCATGTTCAGTGTGAGGGCAAGCCACCCTAACATAGCATCACTGGGGGTGTGCCCGAGTGTCAGGGAGATGGGAATCAGAGACAAGAAATGCCATTCAGATCTACAATTTCCCTCCATTTGTTACTGGAGAATTATTTCTTTTTTTTCAACCGAGATACTATAAATTTTTTAAATGTAAAATTCTTTTTCAAAACTTTCTCACATGAGTACTATATTTCATAAATTCTACCCCATCTCTGCCCCTCCAACTCTTTTCATGTCCTTCTCCACTCCCTTCCAAATTTATGACTCTCCTGTGATTATTAACGTTACACACACCCTCACTCACACACACAGCCCACTGACTCCATTTAGGGTAGCTTATATGTACCTGTGTTTAGAACTTACTGCTTGGGTCTGGACAACCTTTCAGGACCTTCTCCCTGGAGAAAGTTGAGTCTCCCTCTGTTGTCTGTAGCTCTTCATCTAGGGTAGGACTCTGAGATTTTCTCTGTCCACATTGTCAACTGGAGTCATCATTACCCAAATCTATTTGAAAATTATTTCTCAAAGAGATTTAAGAATCTAGTGTCAGGACTCTAAGGATGGCTCAGCAGGTAAGAACACTTGCTAGTCTTGCAAGTAGTTCTCAGTTCCTGGTAGATCCAACCTTCTGCCCCCACAGATACTATATGCACATGGTCCACATCCAAATATACAGACAAATACTTATACACATAAAATAAAAAAATAAATATTTAAACAGTCCTAATGTCCTTTCTTATCTCACTGCCATGACAGATGGGAAATAATGATAATTAGTAATAATAGTAATTAGTAACTACTGTTTGTTGAACAGCTAATGTGGATGAGACATCCTTCTCTTCGGTGTTTGATGTAACTGTCATGATTCCACAGCTGGTCAAAACATACCATGGCTAAGAAGATGCAACATGCCTAATGGCCCCAGCTACCCTCAATCCTCACCTCTGCCCTTAACGCGTCACCCCCAGCCCGAGCCTGTTTCCTTACAGACTAGGAGCACATTCCCACCTCAGTCCTTTGTACATGGCATTCCCTCTGCCTGGAATGTTTTTCCCATGAGAGTTTGAACAGTTGCTCTCCCATTTTGTCTGGGTCTCTGCTTAAACTTTGACTCACCAGTAGAGGCTTCTCTGATAATGACAAATCAAATAGTATCACTGTCACTTTGCTCTCCATCTCTACATCATTTTTGATTGCACAGATCACTACAAACCTCATACATTTGTTATTGTCTCTCAAACCCTGTTAAAACCACATCTTCTGAGCTGGAGAGAGATCTCAGTGATTAAGAGCACTTTGCTGCTCTTTCAGAGGACTGCAGTTCAGTTCCCAAGACATGTACTGGGCAGCCCACAACTGCATGTAACTTTAGTTCTATGGAATTCAACACCTTCTTCTGACCCCTTTGGGCACCAGCACACATGTGTTCATACACATGCACATAATAAACAATAAAATAAATCTTTAAAAAAAAATATCCAAGTTTCCTGAGGCTCAGGCCTACTTTTTCCTCCCCTGGACTCATTCCCAGTGCCTAGGACAGTGCCTGGTAGACATGAGATGTTCGCTGTATTTGCTGACTGAAGGGAAGAAGAAAGAAACAATCTCAGCTTAGTTACCTACCTTGCTGAAGATGAGAACCTGGGGCAGTATAACAGGGCAGCCAGGAGGTTATACCGGAACCAAACTCCCAAAGCTGGGTAGAGCTTAGCATCTATAATCTCCTGCTCCAGCCCTCTTGCACCTTTCATGGGGACATGGCCTTTTGGTACCCACCCCCGACTTGAGCATAAATGGTGTTATGGCAGGGATGAGCAACCACACAATACCATGGCCATGACCGGCAGACAAACTTGCTGGTGGCATCTCAGTGTTTACCATGTCTGCCCATCAGTCAGCAGTGGCTCCCCGCCCACTTCCTTGAAGCCTGTAAGCCAGGTGGGGAGCTTGGTGGGATGGGGCACGGAGGAAGTTCTCCCTGTTTGCAGACAGCTCTTAAGTGCTGGTTCACATCAGCTCCTGATCCTGTGCAAGGTACTTAGCTCAGCGCTGGTTGCCCAGTCTCAACACATGATAATTCATTCCTTACCCACCACCATGCGTCCAGTTCCCTGTAGACCTGCTTCTCTATTGGCTCTGTTACCCCAGGAGTCCCAGATAAACCCTATGTCATTCTAGTCCCTGCTGCCCCTTCCCTGTGGCAGTGTGGTCACCTGGTCTGATCTGGCCTCTGATATGGACGTGGAGGCCCTGAACACAGGCTTACGTCTTCTTCACAGATATTTTACCATCATTTCAATCTTCAGGCAATCTGCCTGGGTGTGCTCTTCAAGAAAGGGTATGGCTAATTTCACTAAAACTTTTTCCTTGATCCCAAGAAATTCATGTTTTTTCTTTCTAATCTTTCTATACTGGAATGTTGGAAAATTCCTCTAATAGTCACAAATGTCCACACTCGGTTTCTGGTTTCTATGAAAAAATCATGGTCATTTGAGTTACTCAGCCACTTAAAAACTGTGTGACCCTGAAGGAATTACTTTGTTTCTCTGACCCACAGGTTCTATTTGTCTTGACCTAGGATAAATGTATATGTTGTGGAATATTGTCTTAAGATGTGTTACATTCATTCATGCTGTGGAATATTTGTTTAATGATGCAAATATGTGTTGCACTCTTTTATGTTGCATTTGTTTCTCTGTGAAGCTGTGTTACTGTGCCTGCCTAAAACATCTGATTGGTCTAATAAAGAGCTGAATGGCCAATAAGGAGGCAGGAGACAGGATAGGTGGGGCTTCCAGGCAGAGAGAACAAATGGGAGGAGAAATCTAGAAGAGAAGAGCAAAGAGTGAGGGAGGAGAAAGAAAAGGAGAAGGAGAGGAGGATGCCAGGGTCCAGCCACCCAGCCACCCAGCCAGCCATAGAGTAAGAAGGAAAGAAAGATGTATAGAATAAGGAAAGGTAATAAGCCCAGAGGCAAAAATGTAGAAGAAGAGAAATGGGTTAATTTAAGTTAGAAAAGCTGGCTAGAAACAAAGCCAAGCAAAGGCTGGGCATTCATAAACAAGAGTAAGTCTCCGTATATTTATTTGGGAGCTGGGTGGCAGGCCCCCAAAGACAAAAAAAAAAAAGAAAGAAAAACAAACTACACACACACACACACACACATCAATAATAGAAAAGTTGTAAGTGGCATTGTGCACATAAAACATAATAGTCCCTGACACTCACATGACACACAGGAAGTCAGTTTTGTGATGGAGACACCGAGGACAGTGATATTGGAAGCCAACCTTCACAGTCCTCCGTGCCTCCTGTGAGTTCTGTCTTACCACCTTTAGCTACCTCTGTTCCCTTAGAAGCCTCACGCTGTTCTCGGGGACACAGAGCTCAGCAGTGACTCTCAGCTCTGCCTCTCCTTACCTGTGACCACAGTCCATGCTGCAAGATCAGTTTCTTTCTTCCTCGTCTCTTTTTACGTCAACCAGCTTCACCAATGGCTCCAATATCGGTGACCTCCCTTTCAGCACTATCCTAGCCCCACCATTGTTAGGTCTCAAGGCCACTTTGGCCCTCCTTCCTGTTATTTCTAAATGTCTACGTTGGCTGGGGAGATGGCTCAGTGGGTAAGGCATTCCTTGAACAAGACTGAGGCCTTGAGTTAGAATCTCCCAAATGCATTGTAAAGGGCAAACTCCATGTGTCTATGGTCCCAGTGCTCCTGTGACAAAATGGGGCAGGATGGTCCCAGAAGCTCTCGGGCTGGCTCGTCTGGTGTACTCAGCAAGCAACACAAAAGTTCCCACCTGAAACAAGCTGGAAGGTGAGGACAGTACGGGAGGTTGTCCTCTGACCTCCACACGTGCAACATGGCCACACACATAAGATACAAACATCTCATGCACACAGCACACACACACATCACACACACAACAAAAGGATTTTTTTTAAAACCTTTAAATACCCTCCATGGCTTGTGTGAGCCCCAGAAAACAGGAGGTGTTTCTATTCTGTCGCAGGCACAGGCCCAAGGTCAGTCTACCTGCAGCTTGCGATGGCGTTCTTTATTCCCGTTCAAGTTTTCTTCCCTGTAGTCACCCTGTTCTACCTGGCCACAGCGGCTTTGTGTCATCGTTTTCAATGTGATGAGCTTTGGCTCCTTCTGTAAATCTAGGCACCAGTTAAATGCTTGAGCCTCAGAAAGCATCTGTGTGCTTGTGGCGCACTCTGAAGAACGCTCACGGTAGTATATTCCCTCTTGACATCTTAAATTGGGAGTTGGACCTCCCTCCTTCAGAGCACTGCTTTCTTTTTTAAGATCACGATTTAAACTTCTTTCTTTTTTAAAATAAGATTTTGTACCTCTTTCATATATTTCTGGCAAATTTCCCAGGCTTTGAGAAATTAATTTTGGCTATTACCTTAGCACGGAAGAGAGCTATCTTTCACTTTATATTCATAATCTCTGTTTTTTTCTTGTATCTAAATCCAATTAACTCTCCTAGCCCATTTCTGCTTTAGTTTTAAGAACAGTAGCTAATGTTTGTGTAATGTTCTATGCTTTTAAAAGTGTATTCCCAGGTACTTTTGAGCCTAACACCACTGTGAAATAAGCCAGTACATTTTAATTCTAATCTAACCAAAGAGGAAAACACCCAGCCATGTCCCCAGACTGAGTGATTTGTGTTGGAACTCCTGACCTATGGGGATCAGAGTCTTGGTCTTGAACCTGGCTTTCTGATTCCAAATTGTTTCCCATCATTCCACACTATCTATTGGGATAGGCTCATCCCATGATAGTTTTAAATGATCTGCTTCAAAGGTCAGTCTGCTTCTTTTTAATCTTTCTTTCTTTCTTTTTTTTTTAAAGTGGGATTGTTGAAATCATCTTCACACGTCAGACCTCTCCAGAAACACAGAAACAGCAGAAGGCGGGTAAATTGGGCAGACAAGTAGATCTCTACAATAAGGTTTACATCATGTGTTTATGAAGGACAGACCTGACTCTAAGCTGTAGGTACAGGAAAGCTGAACGTAAGTCAAACCTGAAGGCTCAAGAGTCAGGAGGCCAAAGGGTAAGTCCTGGTTTCATCCTCAAGGGCCAGGAGTGGGAGGGTTGACTACTGCGGGCAGGAGAAGCTGGGGGTCCCAGCTCACAAAGAAGATCCTGTTGGCTTTTTTTATTGTTGCTGTTCTATGTCGTGTCCACCCACAGTGGGAACGGCAGTGTCTGAATCAGTGTGCTGATCTAATCTCTTCTAGAAATACCCTCACAGACACACTAGAGATAAAGTTTTACTGGTCATCTGGGAATCCTCAGCTCACACATGGAATTGCCCACACCACTTCTTA